CACATCTATTTCTCAACTGATCAATTTTCAAAAACAACACATGTACGCAGAGTGCTGCTAAAAGCGAAATATACTACCGTTTTATAAGATAACGTTATAAGCAGTCTAACTGCACAGTCTGTATTTTACTGCAGAAAACACTGAAACAAAATGCAGAAGCACCGCAGGCCACTAAGACAGTCTGATAGGTTACCATTTTGATAAACAAAATCTGTTGTTCATAAATGACCTTAAAATATTTGTATTCCTGCTTATAAAGAGTATTATAAAAATAACTCGAGATTTATCTATTTTTTCTAACGAATTGTCCAATTTTACAAAAGCAAAAGCGAGTAGATCCACACTTGGGAAAGAAGCAGAGGAAAATCAAAGCTGAGATCTTTATACACAAAATATACAACACATCTGCTTGAAACTCCTACAGCATTGCAAAAAGTACAACTTAGGAAAGAAAGAACCCATGAGTGACACAGAAGCCTGAAACAAAGTTACTTTTGCTGTCCCGTTCTGTAGCGATATACCGTTAAACTGTGCTAGACAGCCTCCAAAATTTTACCATTTAATTGAATGGGGTCTAACAAGCGAAAAATTCAAATTACTAAAAGTTTCTTTGAAAAATCTTCCAAAACTTCATTATCAGCATTAACTAATCTTACTTAAAAATATGAGAAGGCTAGAATTGAACGACACATAGTTATTAGCTTGCAATTCTTCTTTTCAACAGAAATGCAATAAACTTTATACGTTTCCCGTTCTCAACAGAGAGAATCTGATTAACATTTTAATAAATTTTCCGGTTAAAAATATTGTTATTCCAGAACGGAAAAGAATAATTGTACAAACCTTTTATTCACGCAAAAAAAACCCAGATATCAAAATAGCAATATTAAGAAACAAGAAAAAAGAAAAACGTTGAAAGTGATGGAAATGGTAAACAGCTTGAAACCCAATCTTACGCATTTCTCACAGTACTTTTGTACAACAGCAGCAAAACCTGACGTACCAACTTTGAAAAATGAATAGTGTAGTAAATGTATGCAGAAAAAATGAATTCATGAGCACTGTATCCATCATCAAACACTCGATAAATGATCCTAACAAGAAATAAAAAATAATAAATAATTCAATTCTCTATAATAAAATATTACTTCCAATTTCGTACTGTCACTGTAAAAGCGAAGAAACCAGAACGCAAACGCTGCAAGGTAATCAGAAGAAAAACCGAATTGCAAGATCCGAACTAATTACGGATAACAACCGCAGTACCAACGTCAAAAAACAAGATAATGACTCACTTGAAAAAAAAAAAAACGAATAAAACCTAATCATAATAACCTGTTAATAGCGTTTTCCAATTCTCTTTCAATCGCCTCGTTAATACCTTTCAGTCGACTTATCACCTCTTTTGACCAACTAACATATTCCTTTTTCCTCCGTGCGTCCCACGTTACTGGAGGGTTTTTTTCAAGGTCTCTCAAGTTATACAGTTTATCGGCCAAATGAACGAGCTTTGCCTAAATTAAAAATAGTATCATCAATTCTACAAAAAAGCAATTTGGGAACCGACTACCTTTTAACCAAGCAAAAAACCCTCTCTATCTGAACTAGACAAGAAGACTGCACTTAAACACTTAAGAAGCAACTTCTGAAAAACTGACTTTTGTCTACTCCTCAATAATCAGTTAAACAATGAGTCTGTAAAAATGCAAAAAAAGTAAAGAAAGATATGCACAACGCAGCTGCTTAGATAAATCAGTAACGGTGAAATGAAATAAGAGGTCAGAATCCTATGAACCACCTCGTTAATACCTTAACTTAAGTTCAACATCCAATTTGTCTTACGGCTTCAATCTCAGAAACCAAAAAAACTCATTAATAACTATTTTAGACGACCAAAGTGCTAATCAGAACAAACAAAAAAAACGCTCTGCCACGTAGACTAAGCAAAATTTTCTAAAGAATACTTCCAAGTACAATGGTCAAGATGTAGCCAGCAAATGTTTAAAGTAATTAACAGCTGAAAGCTTTCTCAGACAGAAAATCAAGAAATAATTTGCTTCTCAAATTTTTCAATTTAAACTCCTAAGTTTTTTTAAATTCCTGTTATTTAGCATTCGCTCAATAACTCAATGTTTTTATTACTTGCTTTTGAAATTTGCCAACTAAACTTCTCATCCAATTTTGAAAAATACGGCCTAATAAAATCAAAAAAAAATACTTTGTGAAAAAACTGGTAGGAAAGAACTGCAGCCTCATTAAAATAAAAAGTATAAAAAAAAGCAACCTTATTCAACTCACCCAGAAGCAAAATGGCAATACGTCCCTTAGAACGCTGAAATTAAGAGAAATACTCTACCTGCTATAGCAATTCTAAGAACTTCTAATGAACTCTTAACAATGCTAAGTATCTCAAAATAAATTACTTCTCTTGAAAAAACAAATACCACTCAAAATATTCATAAAAGAAGTAAATGACGAGATGAAAATAACCTCGTCTTGTGAATAAACTTCAGTAAAGGTCTTTATACTATTACCTTAGTACAATGAGACGCTGCATTATCAATTTGAGCTTGTTTTCGGGCCTGTCGAGGTAAAGTTTTATCGTCTGTACACTGCTCAACTATAGTGCGGACCTGAATTACCGTACAGTAACTTAATAACAAAGCAGTCAACTAAAAAAGAAGGTTGAATAAAAATTTAAAAATATTAGCGTGAGATCATAAGATTTAGATTCTAGCTGCCCCACCTAACCAAATTAAGCAAAATTTTTACCAAAAAAAAA